CGACCGCTCTCAGCCCCATCCCTGGTTTGGGCGGTTGCTCATGCGCTCTCAGCCCCCAAAGGTGTTCTTTGAACAGGTTACTAATGCCAACAACCCTTCAAAGACCTGATCTACAGTGCTCGAGACCCACAAGAACATCGAGAGGCAAAGGGGGGCTTCATACCGTCAGTCACTTGGTCAAATCGCCAAACTTCAGATGTAAGAGTTTGGACACCATGTGCAAGGTGTTCACGTCAATGTGCAAGCATGCTGGATGCCAGTGAGGCAAATGGTAAAGCTGCATCATGGCAATACATAAAGCAAACAAGGCCACACACAGGTCCGGTGAACCTCTGTGTACTTATGTGTACTTGCTATCTCTGGTGTGGATGTCAGAATGGCCATAGAGTAGTGCATGTTGCAAACCTCTTGACTCTCACAGTACTGGTACTAACTCCTGTCTGCCTCGCTTATATGTGCTGTATGTATATATATATATATAGTCTAAGTGTATTGTCTCTTCGCCCATTCCGGGTTCAAACATCCTGCTACAGTAGTGCCAGTGCAAGGTGCTTGTTTCATGCTTCAGAGTTAAAACGCTGTCGGAGCCGAAAATTGGCGGAGGTGTGATCAAGAGCCTTTGTCAGAATGTATGGGTTACTGACTTGCATGAGCGCGAGTCGTCGACACAGCCTGCAAGGCACAGTGGAACTGTGGAACAACAATGGGCCACCGACCAGCTTGACCACGACTCCTGATCCCAGCTGAACAAACTTGACCATTTAGCCCATCACTGCCATCATGAAACCAAGCGCAGGAAAGAAATCATCACTCAAATCATCAGCATGCTGCAGGAGACACTCCCGGTCTCGCGGGGTTGGGAACGTTAGGTGTCCACTCCCTAAAGTCCCTAGAGTCCGCAAAATGAGGTCACCAAGGAAGGCAGTGTCCCGAGGCCCATCACCAAGGAAGGCAGTGCCCCCAAGGCCCATCCTTTGCGTTACAGGCTTCTTCTCAAGAAGTGAACCTCTTGGTGGCCTTAACACTTTTATTGCTTGTGGGGACTGTCCGTGTGAGGAACAGGCCACCAGTCAACGCCACGGGGCAGCATCATGGCGTAGGAGCCGCATGTAGCCTGCCTCGCCCCAGTCCTAGTGAGCTCGCTGCAGTGCTCGGGTCTTAACACGTTCTGAGGAGCAGTCAGTGCGTCCACTTAATTAGCATACTTAGCTAGGTAAATGCCAATCAGTGAGTCCTTGTTAGGTTGGTTGTGTCACTCAGACATTGTGAGCACAATGGCTACTGCTGCAATATTTACATTGCTGGACCGCCGCTAGGCCGCTGGGGATGCTGAAATACACCTATGCCCGCGCCCAGAGGCTACAAGCCTCACTCAGTCGGCCAACAAAAATTAGTCACAGTGGCAAGCCGAAGCAGTAGGAAAGAAACTCAAAGTAGCAACCCCAAAAAACAAAGAAGATTTCATGGATACCGGTGGATGCTGCGCGACTGTATGTAATGCTGTATGATGCTGTATGCGGAATCGGATCAAATCGTGTTCCGTGTCGTTCGTTCGGATGGCAAGGCCTCCAAAACCCGAATTGGCCTGTCGTGATTGACCTGTCTTGATGACAACCATGTGCAGTCCCACCAGGCTGCCCTGTCCTTGCCCCAGGAATTGCGAACCCGCCAGAAGGGCAAGCCTAGCGCTTCTTGTCCATAACCTCAGCTTTAAAGAAATACATATGAGCGGGTCATGCATACCAAGTCGATCAAGTCGTACATGTACCAAGGCCTACCTGCGGGCCATAAAGACCTGGGGTGCCCTGCCACAAACAAACCACATTGATCCCTGCTTGCCGGATGCGGAGGATCAACATGTTCAAGGAGCTGCTTGCACCCTTGTTGTTCAGTGGATAGTCCTTTCAACATCAAGAATCTCAACGCATCTCATTCTCAAATCTCATGTCACCATCATACCTCCCCTGTGTCCATCAGCCAGACTCTTGAACCCACCCACCCGCCCGGCCCAACAGGCATCCATCGCTGGACGCCTCGCGAACCGCGGCGCAAGACGGCACAAGACGGCGCTGCGAACGAGCCCAAACGGGATTTCAAGGCAAAGCGACCAAGCAACAGCACCTCGGCCGAGGTGAGGTCTTCTCGAAAATCAGGGCACAAGAATCAGGGCATTTCTACCAGAGGAAGCCCATTTCGACCCTGTCAGTAGCAAACTCCTATCATTTCAGTTGGCTTTGAGCCTACAGGCACCAGTTTCATGCTAAAAAACACAGCACTATGACTGTTGTACACGGTGCTCCAACGCCCTGTTTGGGCACATGGGTGCAAATGACATATGCGTCAATAAGACCACCATGGAATACTCAGGCTGATGAGCGCATGATCACAAACAGTCGTGTACCAATATGTCGGACGTTCTCCGCTTCCATAGCCTCTAAGGTGGGGATCTTGGTTAGTTTCATCTGAACCCAAATCAGTTGCAGCTTGCACTGACTGTATATGGCCGTTGGTATCTTCTCGTTTCTGCTGGGCCGCCGCATGGTTGATGGTGGCATCCCGCTCGCAGGCATCGAAGACGCCCTGGCCATAGAGGTCCCAGTGGCTCGCGTCCACGCCAACGACCAACGGGCCTGGACGACCATCGAAGCCGAGCCGTGGACCGAACTTTGGACTCTTCGGGCCGTGTACATGTTTCGAGCTCCTGAAATCTGAAAGATTCCGAAAGCATAATGAGAATTATATATAATGAGAGAGAAAGAAGCGAACTCGAGAGCAAAAATAACAAAAGAACGAACAACATTAAAATAACCCTTCAAGAAAGACAAAAATAAGAAAAACGCAAGAAAGACACCAAGAACTTATTTGGTCTTCTCAGCCTCTTGGCACCACTCTTTGCATGAATGGTCATGTACGTACTCCTGAAGGCCTCCCCATGGAAGAAAAGAAAGCCCCGCCCAAGGACCATGTTCACATCTTTCTTTGCCTTTTTTGGGGGGTACCTCAGCTCCCAAGTGCTGAGGTAACAGTCTTTTCATGTCCATTCCAAGCAAAGACATGCAAAAACTTTGGACATTCAGATGTTGCTTCGCAGCTTCGCCCTGCTTACCCCCCTTACCCCATGGTGCCCCACCCATGGGGCGTTTAACAGATGGGCCTCGCGTGGTGAGCGCCTCCAGGATCGAACGCAGGTGGTTGCTCCGCAAACGTCCAAAGCCTCGTGACCGACCGCGAGAGGTCAACGAGATGTAGAAAGTGGAACTGGTTCTCGTCTTCATGAGCCCCCCCTGAACATGGATAAACATGGGTTTATGGAATTGGAAGGTTGCAATATGATCATTTGATGTAATTTGCGAGTTGCGTTGGGTTTGTAAGTGACTTGCTAAGGCCAGCAATGCATTCCACTTTATGGGGGGGGCAAGCCCACAGGGCAACACCACCAAAAAAAGACTGAAACCCAAAGAAGATCCACCTGCTACCAGTTGATCTGACACCACCCCTGGTTGATCTACCTGGTCCCAACTGGGCCACCCCTGCTGATCATCTCTTGACTCCAGCTTCGCAGTTTTTTCGTGACCAAACCGACCGGTCTTGAACCCGCATGGCCTTCGACTCGAAGATATGGCGCAGGGGGGGCTGGCGCAAAGGTTTTGAGCCGCGGTGGTCTCCGCGGAGGTCAGGCCATGTTGGCTCACGAACCTGGGACCGCTGGAGACCGAAAAAAGGGCCTACTTTTAGTTCTGAGTCTGGTGTAAAAGGGAACATTGCAGTCGAACACTTGGAATACAATTTTTTCCTGCGAGAAGTTGTGACAAGTGCACACTTGCGAGTTAGAAAACCCATGCGATAGATTTTTTAGCTACAGAAGAATCTAGGACAAGCTGGAATGCTGCCGCGCCATGAACGCAGAAATCCCATGCCCTTATAGCGTTGAGAAGTGGAGCTCAAGTGGCTTTGGTACCGACATGCCCAGTGATGGAATGTGACCCACGGGGTCTATGATAGTAACTCCCCCAAACCAACCCCATGCACCCACACTCGCATACACACGCCTGGCAGCCTACCATGTATGTACAACTCCTGTTTGGAACCTGGAAGGCCCTCCTCTTCTATACCAGAACAGGAGCAATTAGATGGTGCACTTACGTTGACCCTGGTCGCTCATCAAAGGCTCAAACGCTGGATGAAACATTACTTTTGAGGGTTCATTGACAGTCCATCCCACATTCATCATCTGTCGCTCCTCCCCATTCAGGGTCGGACTGGAACGCCAGCTCCGCGCTGGCGCCTTCACAGCCCCCCCTCGGCCGCCACAGTGCCGAGGGTTCGGCACACAATCCTCAGGGAGGGCCGTGTTCAGGTCTCCGCGGTGAGGTGGGGCTTGGCATTTGCTAAACTCACCCCAAGATACATCAAAATAAATACAATCAACATACATACATTCACACCTCTGTGGATTGCTGAGTATATATGTTGGGGCACTGAAAATGACAAAAGGCTATTCAACTGGGCCTGCCAGGGATCCCAACATCAAAACCGTTTGTCATTGCCAAAGATTCAAGTAAAGTGGGAGATCGATTTTCACAGTGTCGCATGCTCGTACATAAATTCATGCTTGCACATTACATAATTAATATACATATTTATATAATTGTACCGCATATCGCCATCTCTACCACTACCTCCCTCATCCCCCGTGTTCTACAATGATCTATATCTATATATGTGTATAATTATGTATATACATGAATGATGTATGACACATTGTTACACCATGCCTCTGAACCCGTGTCGGCTGCTCCATTCACCATCATGATCAAATCATTTTGTTGCCAACCACCATCAGACATGCATTAAACAATGGCATCGTAAAAAGTTAAAACTTCTGGTATAGTCCCATTGCAACCCGCAGCAACCAGTGGACCACCTCCAACTGCGCAGGAAACCGCCCACAGCAACATCAGCAGCCGGGTCCGGTCCACGTCGAATGGCAAGGCCAAGCTGCGAGGAGTTGCTTCACGGAGAGCTCCTCCGGGGTTCTCTTGGCCTGGATCTCTGCCTGGACGACCCCGCGCCGGCGCTCTCTTCGAGCGCCCAGGCTGGTTGGGCGCTTTGAAGCCGACCTTCGGGTTGCTGAGTAGCTGAGAAGGGTCAAACGTTTTACCATGCTACAAATGTCTAGAGATGAAGAATGAAGTATGGGCTTAGGAAATTTTGAGAATGGGAAGTGTCCATCTGACAGCTATCACGATGTGAAACATTTAGCGGGTTTCCATAGGCCCCACTTTGATAGTCCCCAGGTGTCGGGTTGGTTTCGGGTTGGTTGGCCTGTGGGATTGGACACTTCCATCTAGTAGCTCTCCGCCTCTCCGGCGTTCGCCTGGAATGTATGTTGCTCCACCAAGACACATGCATCTCTAAAGCACCCACCGCAGCCACGGCCCAGCAGGATCCGCAGGCACCTGACCGGGGCATGCAAGATTAAGGAGGCGCACTTGATCATGACCTCAAAGGTAGTAACTATTAGAGTCACATGCAGATGACCATCATCTGCACATATCTGCACTATTGTAAGCAAGGACATTCGAGGCTCAGTTCGATCCAACTCCAGCCATCAGTCCGGATAGTTTTGCTATTTTGGCTTCATCTCATCTTCTCCACCGTCCCGCAGAAGAGCGGCACATGAGTGGGCCTTGAACTTTGTGGAACTCGCTAGTGTTCAAAGATCGCCTTGGGCAAAGACATGCATTGCTTCATCCTACTTCTGATCGTCGGCGGGGCCGATTACCTCGCCATAGTTTTCTTCCGACATGTAGCATATATATGGCAACAAACTGTATCCTAAACATATCCTAAACATAGCAACAAACTGTCCCGTGCCCACGGTTTTGGACCTTGACGCCTTGTCCGGGGAGAGGGCGTGGAGGTGAAACAGCAGCAATCACACATGCCAACCAGGTGGTCAATCATGTCGAAACCAACGGTGGTCATGATGTACGAACGGGCTTAAAGTATCGACCAAACCGAGACGAACAGCAGTAGGCCCTACTTGTAGCCCTACTGGCCCAGCTATGAGAGGAGTCTGTTGGCTAGATAGAACTCAAGTGCCTTCAGTGAAAAGAACACGGAGTGAAACTGTTTCAGTCTATCTAGTTCGGAAAAAAGAACACGTCTGTCACATGAGCATCTCTGGCCCGCGCCAATCCACACTTGAGGGTAAACCAGCTGGAGTGTGAAGCCCAACGATCCTGCTGCAAAGAGCACAGCCGGGCAATTACCCCAGAGAAACACACAGGCTGAAGTTGCTTCATGCATGGAGCAAGTCCGCGCACATCCGCATCCAATTAAGGTCAAAATCTTGAAGCACAATGCCATGGACGAATCTCTTACACTCCTTGGAACAATCATGGTTACGTCGATGGCATGGCCCCGAACTCGTTCAAATGACCTAATTCCAAATACAAACAAAGTGGGTTTTCCACTTCCATGATTTCCTGACTGGTGCGACTTGACTCGTACATAGGGAATGAGGGAATGAGGGTAGGTGGATCCAAATGAACTCTGCAAAATACGTATGATTAAACCCCTATGTCGCATAACTTTCTTATGTGAGCTTACGCGCCACGGATGTTGAAGAAGACCTTACGCAGATCTTACGCTTCTGTATTTTTCACAGATGAGAACCATACTCCCAAGGGAAATGCTTACGCGAAGGCTCCTGTTTGCAGGTGAGCGGGCGACAAACACAAGACTCCGAAGCAGAGGAAGCAGAGGATCAGCATCTACTTACTGGCTGCTGTAGGCAAATGAAAAGTTGGCGCGAACCTTACGCGGAGCTTACGCGAACCTTACGCCACCAAACCCTCACCAAACGGAGCCTGGCATGTTATGACATGTTATGATGGGGCTGACTTGAGAAAGGTTTGATACAGAGTGGCAAAAACAAACAAGCACAGTGCACACACCTGAAACACAGTGCACACAAATGTCAGTTCCCAAGGGTTTCAATTCTCTCATGGTCCATACAGTTCCTTTTTGTTGACAAGTGTGTGCTAAGAATCTATAGTAATGAAAACGCTATATATATATGGCAAGCTTACGCAACATGCATGTCTCACAGCTCGCTTACGCAACCTTACGCTCTTCAGGTTTTTGCTTACGCCCAAGTTCCATATGACAAGGCCTTTACTTGAGACTTAGTTCATCTTGGGAGGTTTCATTCCCTACGAGTCGTGTCGACTCTCTGCCCGTCAGTCCTCAGGATCCCTTCTGTCAGGGAGCGCAGCTTGCCTTCGAAGGCACCCTCTGAGCTCGCACCTGAAACCGGAGGCAGAACGGGCTAACAAGGGTGAAGGGTGCCACCGAAATAGACGAAAGAAGGCAACATTCCATACAATTCCCCCAAACCATCGTAAACCTGCGTGGAATGGTTGGCTATGGCTACGGGTTGGTTGGATGTCCAAAATTCATCTCGCACATCGCACATCCTTCAACTTTAGACTTAGACCTGAAGGAAAGTCTCCTTTGCTGGTTCTGTGGCTGGTGGACTCGCTGGGTCTCCTGACTCAACTGCAAGAAGCTTTGGCTCTGCGCTGGCCCCCCGACGATGTCCTGAGTGCAGCGGGAGCAAGACGATGTCCCGAGCGAAGAGCTCGCACCAAATGATCCTGGGTTCCTAGCTTTTCTAAACCAGTCCGAGCTCCAGCTCCAAGCTATGAAACCATTGAACAACCATACGGCGCAGGTGGCACTGTTCTTGTTCAGGGGGGACGTGATTCGATAGCACTAGAAAACTGGTGGGGCTTAAATGCTTAAACAGATCTGGAGTCGGACCAAGCATCCCCAGCACACAAGAAGAAAGACAGACAACTGCTCCTAAGCTCTACCATGCTCTACGCAACGGGATGCCACCTAAGACCTAAGGACCTCAGCAAGCAGGTATGCAGGGGTGAAAGCCCGTCAATTGTTGGAGGTGTCTTTTGTTCCAAGCATCCTAGCAACTGGGAGAACTCTTCACGGGTGAAGTCTGCAAAAGCGTTCACCGATGCCTAGCGTTCACAGGTTGCCGTTGCCGAAGTCACAGCCGGGCGCCGAACACCCCCTTTAGTGGTCGCCTGATGGATAGGTGCAGGTAGACATGGTCTCCAAGAGATGGCTTTTGGATGCTTTTGGTATTCATAATTCGCGTAAGCTTTAAGTTGTAGGGGCCAGTTTACATGCACCATCATGCACCATGATCCGCAAACATTTGAGCAGCAGGGGGTGTCTCTTGCAAAATGCATTGAACGAGCTACATCTGCTTTCCAACTGCTTGTGGAGTGGTGGAGTGGGGCAAACTGAACCTTCAAGCGTTTGGGGCTTTAGTTGCGCGTGTTGCAAAAATATGGCACCCTGATGAGATGCCCTGACTTGCAAAAAGATGTTCGTTCACTTGCCGCAAATCGCGTTCGATCGGACCTTCCAAGGCAAGGTTTGGTGCCCATTGATCTCCTTACTTCGGCTGTTCTCGAAGGAGCGGTCGTCACATTTGGGAATTCGGAATTGAAAATGCAGTCGAAAGGGTTTGCTTCAAGATGATTCTCCCTTTCAAATCACCTTTGAACCTGTCGTGTCGGATGCATACCTCTGCAACGTCAAGATCAATGCGGAGAGTAGGAAATTGAGGTGTTCCTGTGCGGGACCCCAAAACCACAACGACCCAAACCCCCAACATCCCCCAACCCATCAGGATGTGGTGAACACATGTCAAAGCCCAAACACATTGGGATCGGCTTTTTGCAGTATGCCATTGAACACCAGCTTTGGATGTGTTTCTTTAACAGTTCCGCTGCTGAATTGCCGTGCGTGTCACACCGGAAGCGAGCGTCCTTTTAAGCCGTCAGCGAGCAAATATCGGGTCATGTGCCCAGCCCACAGAAGCAGATTCCTAATGACAATGAGAATGACAAACACAACATAACACAACAGCCTTTTCCTATAACAATCTCTCGGTGTGTTTTTCCTTTTCTTTTCCTACATATCCTTCCCGTTGCCGATGGAACAATGCAGTCGAGCGACCTGCACCGCGGCCACGCGTTGACGATAGAGTTCTTGGCGCATGGTATAGTCCTGCTGATCCACATGCTGGCGACCTGGGCCGACGGCTGAGGCTGTTGCTGTGCTGGGCCGAGCTGGTCATCGGTGCTTTTCCTGGAAAACGGGCTGAGCTGGAATCTTGCAAAAACTACTGTATGTGGATAGAATGTGGATGGCAATTGCTTCATCAGCCCTGGTAAGTGCATGTGTAACTCTAATCCCCATCAGTTGTTTGCAAGCACATTGGTCTGAAGCGACTGGCAAGAGCGCCACTTTCAGCTTTATTCAGCCAACAAATGGATCGCTAAAGCGCATGAATTCAGAGGTTGCGGAATCAAAAACCGATTTGAGGCTCAAGATGCTCAAGAAGTGACATCTACAATATCTGAGGGCCATGGTGGGGCATATGCAGGTACATATAAATATTGTAATTAACTATATTATGTACATCTAAATATTATCCGTAATATATGAGCGCGCGCCTGTGTGACGGAAACATCACCACCAATGTCTTGCCCCAGGATGCCCAGGTGAGACAATGGCAGGTCCGCTGGTGCTGCTGCTGCACACCCTCCTGCCAAAGGGCCATACTTGGTGCAAAACTCCGAATAGCTTCCCAGTGTGCGCAAGGTCCAAGTAGGGGTGGCCTCAAACATCAGTGTGTCACCCCATCAATTGCTGCGACCCGAGCAGCAACTCCCCGGCGTCTGTAGGTTGAAGATATCACAGAGGAAGTGGGTGCGACATGATTGGGTCTCCGACTCCCGTCCGGGCCTGAGTACACCTGAACCTGTCTCATTTCAGCGCCTATGAATCATGCAAAAGACTGGAAGTGCATGTTGTGCAGGAAGGGGCGTGCCAAAACTCCTATTTCTCTTGGAAAATCATGTGCACAAAGGGTTCCTCAGAGGGTATGCACTGGGGATTTTTGTGGAAACTAGTTTCCTGGACCTGCGCTTCACGATGTTCTGTTAACAGCAAAGTTCAATGGATTTCAATCGTGTAGACTAGAAGGCATCCTGGGGATGACGTGGAGATTTGATAGTTGTTCTGCGCCAGCCTGACACCTAAGCACACCCATTCCCCCATCATTGCGCCTCCACCCCATGACCCACCCCGTGGCCAAGCAGTATCCTTGGGATTTGGCCTCCCCAAGGCGGGGGTTCAGGTGTGAATCAGATTTGGCGGCCATACTTGCGGCAACCAGCAAAGAAGTTCATCGGTCAGTCCTCTATATATCTCTCTATATATATATGTGTGTGTGTAGTATACGTATATATATAATATGGAACCAGGGCGTTCTCATCCATGCCCTCCAAGGTTCAGTGATATACTTACATATCAATCTATATATATATATATAATATGAAACCAGGGCGTTCTCATCCATGCCCTCCATGGTTCATCTACAGCATGCTTGATTAGGTTCTCCGCTGCTCTTGTTCAGCTTGCTGCTGCCCTTCGGGATGAGTTGGTCTTAAAACCCTTGCGGGAAAAACGCCAGTGAAACGTTCGAGTGGCCAACACACAGGCCGCAAACCACATCTGCAGGTGCGCCATGGGAAGCCAATGCAAGCCAGCCCAGTAGGCCAACACAAATGATCAAGTGGAAGTTGGGTTGCGTCGAACAAAAGACCGAGAGAGAGAGAGAGAGAGAGAGAAAGAGAGAGAGAGAGAGAGAGAGAGTGGTGAGGGGTCTAGGGAGTGGGAAGGAGTGGGTCTAGGGAGTGGGATGACACCAATGGGGCTTTCCAAAATCACGGGATTCAGAATTCTCAGACCAATTCTCCAAGCTTCTCATGAATGCATCCTCAATGGTTGGGCCGTTTGTTTTGTGTCCGCGTCTAGGATGAATCGCTTCAACATGGAGTGACCTCCGGAGTGCGACCCCGGAGAGCCCCGGAAACCGGAGACGCGGCCAGTGGACTCCTCTGCAGGGTTTCAGAGGAGCTCGGCCGACTTTCTTTAAGCTAAATTGAAGCTGACAGCTGCGAAAAAAGAGCTGCTACATGTGACTCCAGGACTGCCCCTGGGCATCTAGAGTGCCATTTAGGCAGCCGTTTTGACTTTTCTCCTCACTGTGCGGCAATTGCCGCAACTTGGCGTGAAACGGAGCGGCTGCTTGAACCAGAAAGTCTTGGGTGGCATTGGCAATTCCCTAGGAGCACCAGTCAGAAGACATGCTAATGTTTTCAGACCATTTCTTATGAATCTTATGACAGGACTGTGGGTGATTCGGCAGGCTAAAGCAAGTGCGAACCCCAAATAAATGTGCAATTCACGAAAGCACCACCCATCTGGCATTGACATTTAGATTATCCCTGTATAGAAATACACACCAATACACTCACCAGGGCCCTAAAGGTCACGTCCCTAAGGTCCCTAGGTCACGTCTTCAATAGTAATAGGTGGACGCCTGAAAAACAAGACCTTTGAAGGATTCGAACAGGATTCTTTGCTGAAAACCTACTGTGGTCTCGGATTCCTTGAGTTTGTTTCCCTCACCAACCCTTCCATAAGTCTCTGGCTCGGCTGCACAGGTGGCAGCGTGGCAGGGCTCCCGCACAGCTGCGCCGCTAGCGCAGTTTTCTGGTGTATGGATTCTGCTGGAAAATCTGGTCCTTGTCCGATTTTCTTGGTGCAACTCATCTAAAACTGTGGAATCCTCATTACACTTGCAGGACAGACAGCCCCACGGTGATGCAAATCAAAAGGCCAAGATCACAGGTCAGCTGCCGCTGATGATACATCTGCCGCACGTCCTCACATCGAGGGTGAAGCCATGGGCTTCATAGAGTGTGGGCTGTATGAAGGGGATTGAAAATTGTGCTTCCCTAGTCATTTACCTTCCCTAATTATTGTTCTACTAAGGTACAAGTAGTGATAATATGTTCTACTATATAATAGATATTTTTTCCCAGTGCATAATTATATATATACAATACTTTTGGTTACATTCACGGTCCAAATGCTCAAAGGGCTTACAGTATTACACCGCCTGCAGGCTGCAGGCCAAGCAGCACCCTACTAGTACCAGCAAACAAATTCACAGTCTTGATTGAGAACCCTGAAATCAAATGGGCCGCATGGTCATTGCCTGAGCAGCGTGCCAGGTGGCTCGACCGCATGGCGTCTCGCAACTTTTTCCTCTGCTGCTTCAACCCTGAGGCCTGCAGTCTGCCCAAGGATGCATGTTGGGTGGGATGGTCTGGGGATGGCCCTTCCACGTCTGAGAGGCAGCCACATCCTACTCCAAAGAAACACCCCCAGCAGGGGAGCAACTGTAGCTGATCCCTGTAGGTCTGCATGGATCTCCATGATTCCAATCATGCAAGTTGACATGAAAACCTATCTTGCATCGCTTGGCACTGGCTACACGAAAAAGCGGCACTCGCCTGGATCACTGGATCACCTACTTGGAAGGACAGTTCAGGTCCTATGGTGCATGGCTAGGGGCCCACATCTCTTGAGGCATCTGCCGTCGACAGAAGGCCCACCCAAAGCCTTCCCGATGTCCAGCTCACTGCGCCCCTCTTCGCGAATGGATTTCGTAGGGGATTGCTGAGTTCACGGGGTTGCACCCTTTCAAATTGCATGTCTGATTCTTAGTTGGCCCCTTCACTCCTGTCCCCCTCGTCGGTATCCTGTCCCACTTGTGGGCCTCTGAAACTGGAGTTACAGTATATAAAATTCTTTGGAACCGTCCTTCCCAGCGACCGGTGGGTGAAACTATGATCTTCAAAAGTCAACTAGTGCCCAGACAGCATCTAAGATGCCTAAGTCATTTTGTCGCCAAACAAGCCGCTCGCCTTCTCGCTTCCCTCTCTCTCCGTGGGTCGTGCTGGGGATCGTTGTTTACTGAACACTTTCGAAAGCGGGATTTAAACCGAATTAGGCCCCCTGACACGAGAAGGAAGAATGAGGAAGCATGAGGAAATTCTCTGAAATGGGCCATCTTTGTGCATGTTCGCGCCAACTGCGCGCATGCCGGCACCTGTGGCTTGGCACAGCTGCATGTTGCATCTCATATTGGCATGTAGTGATCGACGGTCAGTTGCATACACCATTCTGTGAAAATAAACCGGGTTTTGCCAATGGTCTCCAGTACCAGCGATCATTCAATGGGCCCCCTGAGCTTGGTGGAACACCTAACAAGCAATTCTCCCAAGTCTTGTTGCCCACTACTTGCGAAGCTCACAAACTGCACACTCCTAAAGATTAAAGAAGACTCAGGTGACTCAAATCAATCTTTATAACAACGTCTTCCTTCTGACATCGTGCCGACGCCAAGCTGGCATGCTATTCAGGCGGGAAGTCGACGCCCAATCACGGCGCCTCACTCAGCCCATCCTCAGAGCCCCTGGATGGGAAGATCCCAGCTCCTCACTCATAACTACCTTATCCCGGTAGACGACCAGAACTCCCCAGTATGGGTATCCGGAATTCTGGATCGGGATCGTTATAGTTTATAGCCTTTTTTCCTGGAACTTCCCGCACTTCAGGCACATGAGAGTCTGGATGGTTTCGGCTGATGGTTTTGGCTTCATCGGTGTGAGGGCTCGAGGTCTTCTTTTCGCTCCAGCCCTGCTATTTGCTTGGCACGACTGAGCTCTCGGTACCTTTCAGTGACTGGGATGAAGCAGGAGCATCCTGTCCAAAACGCCGCGAAGCGTGGGCTGCGCGGCGTTTCAGTTCGTGAGAGGAACGTCTCGGACCACGTTGCTTTCGATTGGATTCTGCCTTGAACTTGGAAGGATGCGCCATGCAACCGGCCGGGAAGAACATGATTGGCAAATGTTCACCGGAGTCTTTGCAAAAGCGTTGCCGAAACTGGTCAGACCGATTTGACCATATGGACCATCAACCGCATGGACATGATCAACCACACTCCGTGACCAAATACACCCACGTTTTGAGCGTTGCAATTGCACTGACGCACCTGGACCTTGGTGGATCTCCAAAGGCTGCTGAACCAGCCATGCATCGTTCCAGCTTTCTTCCTGAAGGGCGGTCCGAGCGCTTGGACACTGCCGTTCCTCCCATTTCCCATTCATGGACGGATGCTCGTCGGGTGGGGGGCCCCTGGCCACTCTCAAGAGTCGAGAAAGAACATGCAACTCCTGGTCAAATACCACTTCTTGGCTGCCTTCTAGAGGACATCGCAACAAACATGTGACAACATGGACAACCCCCCAAATACTCGTCAAATCTCCCAAAATGCACGGCCGACCAAACATACCAAGCTAGTCCCATATTGTCCAAGCTTACCAAATAAAACACGCCAGGTAAGCCAAGGCGTACCAACGTGCACACTTGCCCCACGAAGCTTACCACAAAGCTTACCAAGCTTGACCAAGCTTCTTTTGCGGCTTGCTGGGCTGCTCTTGTGGCTCCCCATCATTCGCATCCCTTTTCCTTGGTGCATTGCAGTGGGGGAAGTCCCGTGGGTAAGGGATCAAAATAAAAGTAAAAATAGAGTCAAAAAATTATTCAACGGGGATCAATGAAAAACATAAAAAGGTAATCAAAAAAAAAAATTCTAGCCCACTGAGGATGGTTTGGGTAGTAGTAGAAGAAGTAGTAGTAGTAGTAGTAGCAGTAGTAGTAGAAGCAGTAGCAGCAGCAGCAGCAGCACCAGCGTAGCAGTAGCAGTAGCAGCAGTAGCAGCAGCAGCAGCACCAGCAGCAGCAGCAGCAGCAGCAGCGCAGCAGCAGCAGCAGGAGGAGTAGTAGCAGTAGTGGTAGCAGTAGCAGTAGTCACGGCGTTCACACGAAGTTAGGCCCTACATGGCGTTGTCAGAGCGCTCAGAGCAGAGAAGTGTTTGGAATGGGTGTAGCAGCATCGGAAGGTGCCTGGATGGAATCTCCTCAGGAAAAAGATGTGGTGGACCAGTCTATTTCTAATGGGTGCATTGCGGTCGCAGCCGTACAGGGTCTTTTTCACCAAGCTGGTGAACCATTTTTCGAGTAGGGCTACTCAATGACTGGACGGCTACCTTATCGTTGGGTACCTACTTTCTTGAGCTGCCTCTGGTAGAAAGCAATCAAGCCTCTATTTGCGCAAGCAGGGGACCAGGAGATCGACAGACGAGCGCCGTAGGAGAGCAAAAGACCAGCGGACCAGGAGACAGAAGGACTAGGATACCAGGGGACCAGCGGACCACAGGACCAGGAGACCGGAGGACTAGGGGACCAGTGGACTAAAGGACCAAGGGACCAGGGGACCAAAGGACCAGTGGACCAGAGGACCAAGGGACCAAAGGACCAAGGGACCACATTACCAGAGGACCCGCAGACCACAAGGCCAGGAGAGCAGCAGAAGAGGCCTATCAAGGAATATTTCTTTTTGATTCGCTTTTTATTTTTTTTGATCCTGTTTTTATTTTTTGATGCTCTTTTTATATTTTGATACCTATGCCAAATCCCGTAGCCAAACCCACTGGTCAATTGAAAGCAAACTCTAAGCCCCAAGACACTAGACTTGAGGTTTGGAGGGTCTCAAGGCATTCAACAAATCCAACATACCAGTACATGCACTATCATGCGATCAAACTTCTTATGACCTCCTTCTCTGGAGGTGCCTTGTCTTCATCATAAAACAGTCAGACCCCACGATGTCCCAGGAGTCTTTGTTACTTCCGGTTCTTGCGTCGCAGTTTGCCCCATCTGGTTGTGGCCCCATGCACTCCCAGAAAAATCATCAGCCCAAAAAACATCAAAAGACTCCCTGCAGGATTTCACACACTGGAACCCTGCAGGACTGCCGCCCATGATGATTCCGGGGGTCGAAACGGATCGAAACCTACGACACAACGCATCTTATTAAGAACCTCAGAACGGGCAATTAAACAATTTGGCGAACACTGCGCCGACTGCGCCTTGGTGCCTGAAACAAATGGTTCTGTGATGTGGTTGTGGCGCGAGATCTGTGCCCTCGTAACTGTAGCACTCTTGTGTCTGTATGAAGGTTCATCTTACCAAATGGCACCGTTTTGACCCATCAACACGCTGTTCCATCCCAATGCTGTGTTCCCAGCCAGCCAGCCGTCAATGCCCCACTCCAAGCCCCCCCCCCAGCCCCTCCGACTTCACGCCGATGAGCAAGCCCAAGGCTGGCGCAGCAGAGGTGCTGCGTCGCAGGGGCCCGGAACGCAACTCAGACTCTAAGGCCTCGGGTGGCTCCTCCGGTTCCTTTGGAAATCTGGGAGTCTCCTGCCGCACACCGGCTCGATGGACGGCTCTCCGGTGGAGGGAAGGACCTGATTTGCTTTGACGGGGGGGGTCGTTCGAAGATACTATGAGTTATGGTTTGTGGAGTTGTTGTTACCTTGGTCAGGGCGTTGCTGGATGTTCCTGATTGTGGGTCATTGACCATGTGATTGACTTGAGTGCATGGCATCGGGCCACAAAGAAGCCGCATGATTCTTGGAATGGCACAGCGAAACAATTGAAACACTATGAAACACTATGAAACACTATAATACTGTCCACCCGGGAATCGTGTAAGTCCCCCTGGTTGTGAAAGTCCCTATGTATTCCAGTGCTATAGTGGTGCACTTGATAGTTCGACAAATGATGACATGATATTGAATATTGCAAAATGTTATGTTAAGATACTTTAAGTTCATTGCCACTTTGAGAAGAGTGAAGGACAACTGAATCAATGAGCAAACAGAGGCAGAACGTGCAAAGGGTTGCAGAACGCCTGAACATAGTTTATTCAAATCGAACTGTCCAAAGGTGGCATTGTTTTGTAATTATCCCTTGTTTCGCTTGATTCCTCATCAGTGGTAACTAGAGGTAAGAAATTGGTTTGAGATGGCTCGACCCTACAACATCCTACAAGTGACAATACCTCTCAATCTTGTCTTGCAGCAAAAGGCTTCACAGTCTGTCGAAAACATCAAAAAAGAAACAACCTATCGAACTTGAGGCCAGAGGGGGTGAACGAAAGCTAGCCGGGCTTCCGGTGGTCTGCTGCTGGTGCTGCTGCTGCCGCTGCTGCGCTGGGCGCTGCTGCGCTGGGTGCTCTGCAGGCGCCGGGTCGTCTGCTGCTGCTGCTGCTGCTGCTGCTGGCGCTGGGTTGTCTGCTGCGGCTGCTGCTGCCGCGGCGTTGGGTATGCTGCTGCTGGTGCTGCTGCTGCTGCTGCCGCTGCTGCGCTGGGCGCTGCAGATGCTTGGTGTGCTGCAGCTGCTTGGTGGTCCCGCTCACCGCGCGCAGGGGGGAGGCGAACCGCGGGGGGGGGGGGGGAGGGGGGGGGTCCATAAGATTGATTTAATCAATTATTTGAGGTTTCTGAGGTGCGTCCACCCCGTCACTTAACTTGCTAAAGCAAGAGCAACTCCAGCTAGCTAAGGCTAGCTTTCGTGAATAGTCTGTTCGGACCCAAATATCATTCCTTGAGTCCTTGAGGCACTCCGGGCTCGCGAAGTTGAGAAAATTATCATATACTGTACTGGTACTGCTCAGGAGAACCAAGTGTAGGGCAGCTAAGAATTATATAGGATTTGGATGGCAGTCCTATCATTTGGAGGCACCACAACCCTTGCCTGACCTTGCATATCAGAGCCACGGTTAGGACATTGATGTATGCACACAAGGTAGGTCAAAGGAACATGGATACCTTTGTCCATGCTGCATAATGCTATCTTAGTTGAAATCATTGTACAATGTAGCTGCACGGCCCAACATCCACATGAAGACGCTCTGCGGCTCTGCGCCCATGACCTTGTAACATATCTTTCGCCACCACTGATGTGTTCTTTTCTCCTCCTGAAGCAACCCGCCCACTTCTCACTCGGTGACTCAATACCTCGCCACCTCTCCTCGCGCGGGGCACCCACTGATGCAAGCATGTCCACATCCACTGAGCCTTCAAAGGAGCCGATCGACATCTCTGCAGGGAACCTTGGTGTGACACTGAGATTTGGACACGGAGACATTGCATGAAGCAGCTGGATCTTTATGATCAGTATGATTGGCATTGATTTTTTGCGGCGATCTTGAGCAAGCACGGCTGGGAAACCATCCAGTTCTTTTTTTTCCACTAAGTTTATATACACTTCAGCGATCTTCAGCAGGATTTCTCCTTTATTCACACAGGGCAACCCAAGTCAGCAGTCCACCCATCGTAAAGTCATGTCCAACAACACCTTCGCTTTAATTAGTCATCCATTGTGACTCTGGTTTCGAGCTACATAGGGCGTTGGAATGGGTTGGACAGCACCTTCTGTTTCTTTGTCACGCATCCGTTTCGTGGGAAAAACATGAACGTCACGCCACGGGACGAGCTCATTTGTTCCACACCTTCCGGGTTGATGGAATCGGTGAGGTTCGAATCCACCAAGTCCACCAGGCTGTCGCTGGGTCCCATGAAGGACTCTTCCGCCTCCGCGGACGGAGGGTTCACACCCACCGCTGTTCGAACGGTTCGGTTTCTCGGTGACTGGCGCCAGGTGCTACTAAACCAACTCTCACGTCGTAAATCAGTATAGGACCGCAGTCAACATGTTAACCTGCAAATGAAATGATTTCAGATATATTTGAGAGATGTATAGATCAGGAAGATGAATTTCACTTGCTTCTGCCTAGTGTCCTAAACATCAACCTTCGAATATGTAACTAAAGCGAAAGATCGATCGACACGGTTGCCATGGATGATGTATGATGATGTCAATGGCATGGACAAATTGTCAGGCATCCAAGATTAGCCGTGCCATGATCAGCAGCAGGGTGCATTCATTCTTCTCCTGCCTCCGGAAGATCCTTCCGGATGCTGGAGAACGAATGCCCCCGGCTGCCGCAGCTCCCCCAAAACAGGTCCCAACCGCACGCGTTGGGTGGACCGAACCCCGGGTTACAACCGACCGTACCGGTCGCTGCGGGTCCCGACCTGTTTGTCCTCGACGGCTTCGACCTCTTCGACGCTGCGCACTAGCACACTGTTCAGAATGGCCTGGCGTGAAGAGACACGCCGATGGGGTCTGGTGCATTTTTTCGTGCGAGTCAAACGGTGGCTCCCATGTCAAAAAGATAGCAAAGGTGACGTGGCTCTTGCAACGAAATGGGCTCTCTTCAATTTCGTGGGGTCATTGGTTGAACAGCATGCCTGGGAATACTGTAGGCCATCTAGTGAGAATGATTTCTACAAATCATCTTGCAAAAGCTAGAGCAAGAACAAGTGCTCCGGCTAGGACGGCTAGGATGTTTGATCTTGAGGACTGTTGACTGGCTGATGTCAACACATTCAGGGGCTCCTGTGTGAGAGGCCGCACGTTCTCCTCCGCAGCTTCCTCGGATTGCGAAAGCGCCTCAGCTGTGATCCAACTGTGCAAAAGGCTCAATATGTACAGTAGAGTAGATTCGTGATATATAAATGCATTCCCCCATTTGGATCCATTTGGATTGAAACACCTCTTCATGAAACCTTCACTCATCATCACTCATCAAGAGTTCTCAGGTCACGGTTCTCACAGCTCCGGTCGGCCCACACCTGTCCACCTGGTCTACGAGCAGTTCCCAAAGGTTGCTATCCATGGAGGCTCGAGGTGCCCGTGGGTGCCCCTGTCACATCCACGACCGCCACGGCCCCTGGATGGGACTATAAACACCACCCAACTCCAGGTGACTCCTGGTGTATCTATTACTTATATAACTATAACATTATATAAACATTGTGTAAAATCTCTCTTTCAATATGTATACAGTATATATATATAATTATATAACTATTGGAAAGAGCCGTGCTTTTCATCTCTGCTTGCTGTGGCCAAGGCTCCGGGTGAAGAGGTTCGCCGGAGATGACCGCACTCATGGTGGGGCCTGTTATGTCCTCCTCTTCAGACTGGCCACCATGCCCACTGGAGAGGATGACCTCAGCATGAGATGGATGGATAGGAAAGGTGGATTGGAACTCTGCGCAGTAGTTCAGTAAATATGTTTCTCTTGAGGTCGCTCAGAATTTCAGGGAACCCCGAATTTCAGACGTCGTAAAGTCTACTTGACCTTCTGCCAGTGGGCAAGGCTAAATCAATCGACTGATGTTGTCATGATATCCACCGTCAGTGCGACGGGGGTTCACTCTTCAGCCCGGGTCCTGGAGTTCCCGCATCTTTGGGAACTTCTGAAGAACTAACCCCGGCCCCTATTCAACAAACAAGAAAGTGCAATGGCATGTCCTAATGGACACCCATCTTTCCTCTACGAGCAGATGTCTTCGGAGCCCTTTGTTGCACCGAACCATGTTTTGTCTCACTACGACCCGGGACCAAGGCATTACGCCACGGCACCGGCATCACTCGAACCTGTCGTTCAGCTCGGGATCTCCGTCGCTTCTGTAAGAGCAACCTCTTCTGAATGAACGTCACCTGCATGGTCTGAGCGGGGCAAGGGGCTTCAGCCATGAGTGCGACAGAGTGCCCGTAGCTTTCTGGGATCTAAAGAGCACACCACCTTCACCAAGATCTCCATGGTAAGTGGGGCCAATCCCTGTACCGGCGAACTGTTTGTTTGGGGATGTCCACCATCTTTGCACTAGTTTGGTGATTTGAGCGACAGGCCAAGCACCATAAATACGCACTGTCCGTGGCGATGCCCTGAACAGTTTATACAGTAACAGTAGAATTGTTCTCGATACCTGATTGAAAGGCCTTTAATGGGAACGAAGAGGGGGCCTCCTGAACAGGATCTGTGCGCGCTTTTCACTCCAACAGGACTGTGCTGCATCTCTACGAACGACAAAGGCTCAAGGCCAACATTCTGTTCAGTGTGCTCACTAGGAAGCTGATGCGGCAGCTTCTTCTCCTTCCTTGGGAGTTGCATCTGCCATCAGCTTGTTGATTTCCGCATCCTTGAGCATCCGGAGTTTCACCTGAAGGTGGTGTGTCCCCACCGTGCCGGGGCTGCAGGCAATGCAGCCTGTTTGGTTTATTCACCTGATCTCTTCGACCCTTTTTGGTTCAGAAGCACAAGGACGCACCCACAACAGTCCTCCGGTCGTCAACAAGAAAGGTCACCAACTTGTGGAATTCTTAGGGCCTTTGGACCTCTGGAACCCCTGGCAAAACCCTCGCGCATCGCATGCCCGTCACGCATGCCGAGTATCCGGCCGGCCGACTAACCGAGACGAGTCGGTTCAACCGGATGTGTCCGGTTGCCGGTTGTCCCGGTTGCCCGGTTGGTCGGTTGGCCGGTTGAACCGGGCAACCGGGAAACCTCCGGTTCAGCCGGCGGTTTCTCGGTTGGCCGGGTCAACCGGCGGTTTCCCGGTTGGCCGGTTCAACCGGCGGTTGATCCGGTTGGCCGGTTGAACCGGCGGTTTCCCGGTTGGCCGGCTCATCCGGCGGTTTCCCGGTTGGCCGGTTCAACCGGCGGTTGGTCCGGTTGGCCGGTTGAACCGGCGGTTTCCCGGTTGGCCGGCTCATCCGGCGGTTTCCCGGTTGGCCGGTTCAACCGGCGGTTGATCCGGTTGGCCGGTTGAACCGGCGGTTTCCCGGTTGGCCGGCTCATCCGGCCGTTTCCCGGTTGGCCGGCTCAACCGGCGGTTCAACCGGGCAACCGGGAGACTGCCTGTTGAACCGGCCAACCGGAAACCTGCCGGTTGAACCGATCAACCATGCGTGTCAACCGCCGGTTTAACCGGCCAACCGGGAAACTGCCGGTTGAATCGGCCAACCGAGAATCACCAAATCAAAGTGGGCGGTCTTACCGGCGAGGCTTTTGGGCGAGTCTGGCGAGTCTTATTTTGCATTTTTGAAATTGCTTTGATCTTTTTGAATCTGGTTTTAAGCATAAAATTGTCACAAATAAGATCTAAAATGATTAGCAATTACTCAAAAAGAGTAAACATGACTCAAAAGTGATTAGACCTGATTTTGAACAAAATTCACCAAGGGGTAAAAGTATGAGTGAACCAAAAGTGTTTTCACGGGTACATCCACGAGTGAAGCCACGAGTGAAGTTGCGGTGAACTTGCAGACAAAATGAAAGTTCAACATAGCCTTATACGATAAGTTGACGAGCCGAGCAACAAGTCAACCTACAAAAAACAATGAAAAATGTACTAAGTACACACGGTTCCTTAACCATAAATCACTCCTGGCCTCGTTGAACGTTCTTGAACTAACTAGCTTAGTAAGTTTTGAATTTAGGCTGAAGAGCACTGTGCTGGCAGGGGCTGTGACAAAGTAAGGTTTTTGCAACTAGTCTAGTCATTGAACAGTATTTATTTGTTGA